CGATAATTGACCGCGATGAGCCCGCGCCGTCCTTGAACGTCGCGATTTCCCTTTTTCTCCTTTATTCCATGAAAACCGGCGAGGTCGGCACGCAACAACAACAACCACCACGCACACCGAGGAAATTTCCACTTTTCCACGCGGCCAACGCGGAACAGCGAATGGATATTTCCACTGCGCCACTTTCGTTTTCGAGCCGATTAGTTTATTACCAGCGGAGGCCTGATAATGCGGCCATGCATGCCACCGAGAGAGAGCGATGTCGTTTAGTGAGAACGCGACTAAATGCCCCTTTTGGAAATTTCAATTATTTCTTGTTTACGAGATTGAGACATTTGCACGCTGATTTTCGCGCCAATGGCTGAGGCATTTGAGGTATCTACTGGGTGAGGTACTTGAAATCAAACTTGTTCTGATGAATTCGGTGATCAGGTCGCATAATTGTAGAAAACAAAATTCAATCTGATGGTAGATTTTGCTCAATTCGAAATCTATTTAATTATATTAATTAATGTGATCTTTCAAACACCTCGCGGATCAAGCTTGAAAATCTAAACCGTAAAATAAACCTCTCCTCGATTCCACACTTGATATTCGAGAAAAAAATGTCGCTCCAAAATGAGTCAATTAAAGAAGCTGCATTATTACGTGGGTGGGCACGATAACGTTATCAGAGCAAACAAGGTATTTGTCACCTAAGTCACAACGGTTGCGTCGATGTTTTCTGACTCGTCTGGCGTTACATAAACGTATTATGATTCTTTATTGCGTTTCTCGTGAGAAATTAACCTTCGGGCTTATTGTCTTTGATCTCGTTTCACCGGCATACTCGCGTCATCATTTTCCCGCCAAAAGTAACTCGACCAAATAACGATAGCGGCCATTGTCACATGGGGATGACAGAACTTAGGGTTGTCTGTTAACTCCTGTGTTTGTGATACAAAAGTATTTCTGCGCAGAAAAGCGATTACGTTGGAGATAAAAGATAAATGCTGACGCCGGCGTCCTTTTTATTCACACGCATCTTGAATGAACGTTCGTAAAACGTAGTTTTCATAACTTTGTTATTGTTTATGCAGAAGAATTAACGTTAAGACAATCTGTACGGGATTAAAATAAAATTGGTTTTATTGCTGAATCGCGTAAACGAGGATATTCGATTATTGGCGATAAGAATTTGTGTTTACGAGATACGCTTCCATGTTGACAACTAGAATTTGGAGATAATCGTTACAGAATTTTGTTGCGTCATGGTATTTTTCTGAAGAGGGTTTGCTATATTGCCACAGTCACGTGAGTAATTAGATTTAAAGGATAACGAAAAGATAGCACGTTGACTGATGCAATTGAAAATAAAACTCTCGAGACAAAAAGTAAATATTTCTTAAGGAACTTATGCATGCAAACATTCATACAGTATCGTAAAAACGATCTGTGCTCTTGATTTATTATTCCGCGTGTTAATTAGCTGAATTAAATAGCTGTTTACAACATGATGAAATATTAATTCAACATTATCATTCTTTCTTAATTTTTGGAACTGGTTGCGAATTAATTGGTGTCTGACGTTTCGAACGTAACGATCTGCATCGTTATCAGTGTACACAATTCGCTGGTTATAAATATATTGCGCTTTATTAAGTAACTAAAATTTATTTGCTGATCTGTATGGCATCGTTCAAACTGCGACCCGATGAACGGTCAGCTAATTATTTACGTTATGTAAATCGAGTTACGAGAGTATAATTAATATTTTAATAGATTCTATTTATAAACGATCTATTGACACGAATGGTGGCCGTTCGACTCTCTTAATGCTCCGCGTGTGCTTATTTGCGTTCGATCGCTTCCTTTGCTAATCGAATGTCACGGTTAACACAATATTTCTACAACGATATATTCCGGTATTATCGTACTTCGCATTTGGGAATTTACGACCTGGAAAAAGGAAGGTTTGAATTTGGAAACTGATGAACTTGAAAATTTGAGAGATGGAAAAATGGTAGATGTAGAAATTGTACGTGGAAAGTTGGGAATTGAGAATTTGTGAATTCCATGCCGTTCCAAAGTCGAGTAAGAGAAGTCCTAGTGCATCCACACGTACAATTTGCCACACATCACACACTAACACACGAACCAGCGACCTAATAGAGAAAGCACGTGAATATATTACTTATTGAAAGAACAGTTAAGAAAGAACGTGTTAGAAAAGTTATCGTTGGCAAATACTTACGTGTCTCATAGGATACATAGAGTGTCGGTTACGAAGTGGATTTGGAGCGGCACGATGATGACACGTCGATAACACAATCACTACCGGAGCACCACTGCCGTGTGTCCCACATTACTCGGCGTGCCGATAGTCCGAAATCACTGCGTTTAATGAAACAAACGAAAGAAGATAGGGAAACGTCGTTAGAGAAACACTAAAGTAAGCAGGTCGAGTGTTATGTTGTGTTGTATGCTCGCGATGGATCGATGTGGCGTTCGTAACGCGACCGATTACAAAACACGCAACACGCTAATTCTTTCTTTTTTCTCCGTCTCGCTTAGCCGGAACTTTTTCAAGGCTTCGCGCCTGAGATTTCATAAGACAGTGGCTCACATCGACGATCCATCACCTTCTAAGATTTTCCTCGAAAAAAGCAATTAAAATTTGCTTGATCAATCGATCATTTGTCTAATAGCGCCACAAGATCATAAAGTTCACTGTTATATCCGCTCGCACACCTGTGCTTATGAGGGCACCTGATCTACGACTAGCATTATATTTTAAGCGTGATGGACAATGCGTCACCGGGTATAAAAGAAGAGACGTATATTCTCGAACGGTACACGAAATTTCGACCTTTTCCTTCAACTTCGCTCCAGGGCTTATTTAGGACAGAGAGTGCGTGCGTGTCTGCGCGTACACGTGCGCGACCACGTTCGGCAGACGCGATGATTCGTGGCTCGTTTCTAATGCGTAGTTAGTATCGCGAGCATAACACAAGGAGGAAAAAATCGAAGAAACCGTTCCTCGAAGGTTGTACCGCCAACGTTGCGGACCACGCTTCGCTTGTTTACCTTATCCTACCTTCAAACAGGTTGCTAATACGCATTTGATGGGATTATTCAAAATTTCGCGCTATTTTCAATGTCACTGTAGCGTCACATTCAATATTTTATTTATATTCGACGATTACTTGTTTAACTAGGATCTAACCTCAATTTAAGCTATCCTTACTGTAGGTTTTATAGTTATTCTTGTTTAGTACCGACTATAATCCCCAACCACATCAACCTGTCAATATTACCTAACCATAACCTGAAATGAAATCTAATAATTCTAATCAATTTACCGCTGCTTAAACTTCAGATATAGTTTACACAAGCTTCAAATTAAATTTGCGTTGCAAATGTTTGATCACTTTCTCCCGAACAATACATTCGATATATAGAATTATCAATAACACTTGTATATTGATGCCACAGTTCCAATTCATACCGTGTCACGTTAAAAACAACACCGTAAAGACTATACGTATTCACGCGCGACGCGTTGCAGACACGCACGTACGCACTCTCCAAATGACATTGAACCACAGCGAAGGCGTAATTCTCTTCGATTGGTAAGAAAGAAACCTAGAAAGGGGTGGGTGTTGTCACTGTCGCGATATTTTATGCGACACAGCGAATCTTCTCGTTCAAACTCGAAAGAGAGAGCCGTCGTTGCGCCGCTGTTACCAAACGGATGAAAACAGAACGAAAGGAAGAAACAAGGGACACGTGCCAGATAACAGTAACACGTCCAACGTAATTACGACGTCCCATATAAAACACTATTTTATCCGTCTCCACATGGTGTCAGGAATATAGGGATGAACCGTAAGCTTAGATTATAGACAAGGACAGACAACGCTTGAGAGGGGGATCCCTAATAGGCAATGGCCAAATTTCATTGGTCACTTCTGCGCATGTCCTGCGCCGCCAACTATGAAAATTTAGGAGTCGTAGATTCGACTGTTGACATTTATGACAATAAAGAGGATTGCGAGTTTTGTTGAAGGATTTGTTTGGTTTCTTACTGGGGAGGTTATTTTGAGAGGAAGGATTTAGAGATTTCTAATTGAAAAAGGGTTTTTAGATTTGGAAGTTTGTTAGAGGTTTAGAAATGTCAAATTTGAGAAAAGTGGAAGTTCGAAACAGTGGTAAATTTTGGGAGTTGAGATTGACGAATGAAAAATATTTAATTTATAGGTGGGAACGTCAGACAGTGAAAACGGGGCATCAGAGAGCCTCATACCGCAGTGGCCTTCCCCCTCAAGGATATCTGCGTGTCTATATTCCAAGGTGCAGGTTCTCCATCCTGCCGCCATTATCGCGTGATAAGGAAAAACAAAAGGGACCTCGGAAGGGCGGGAGTAGTGAAAAAAAAAAGAAGAGAAAAGAGAAAGGAAGCGAATTGAGGAGAAAGAGAGAGCAAAGGCGTCCCGTATTGCGTAGTAAGCGCTTGAATGGATTACGTCACGGCGCGGCAGGCAGACAAGAGGGTAAAATCGTCGCGTCAGACACACACGGTCTGGCAGGGCGTTTTGCATCGAGGACTTCGGCCCCGACCTCGGCCGTTTTGTTTTCCGGTCACCAATGGGGTCCCCGACGTCCGCACGCACTACCGCCACCATATCAAAACTCTACACTGCCGTGTGCGCAGCATCGTTTACCGTTTGCGCATATTCGTGTGACAGGATGCCGTTTTCCACCGGGATTCTCGTGCACCTTCGCCATCGGCCGAGGAACGATCGATCGCCAAGATACACGCGGATTTCCCTTGCGTCGTTGAACGCGTCAACGCGAACCCGGGGGAACTCCCGCGTCGCTCCCCACGTGTTTTCGCGATCAAACAACAGTCAACTCCGGCGTGTCTTGGCGTGTCTTCACGCTCTCTCTCTCTCACTCTTTTTCTTTCTCCCGCTCTCTCCCTTCCGGTCTCGTTTGCTCCCTCCCTTTCTATCGGCCGCACGCCTCTTTCTCTCGCTCTTTCGCTCGTCTCGAGTGTCTCGTCTCGTACGCTTGTTCCTTCCTGTCTGCTCGTTGCCTTTGCTGCTTACTTTTTTCGTCGACGAGTCACGCCGAGAACTGGCACTGTTGTGTTCCACGTGGGTAAACGTGTCCTTTCAAAACACCACGGCACATTCCAGCGTGCATAGCAGCGCATTTACCTCTCTCCCATGTTTCCCTGCCAGCGTAACGACACTAACAGCCTCCGCGAACACGTTAACCGCGAACGATCGAAACGTACGTTTTTCGAGTCCGAAATAACGATCTACGACACTTTGAGAACGCGTTACGGTACGAACACCGACATCCTGACGAACGAGTCAGCTGGTACTGATCCGATCATGATCAAGCGCTCGCTTCGACCATGGGTCATGGACGTAGACGCGCCGGGGAAATAGTAACACTGTCGAGCGCCGCGACGGCAGTCCGACTTATGCGCCGCCGTTCGTGCGAGGACCTTAACTAATCTCAGGCCCGTACCCTCAACGGTGTTATCCCCTCCTTCCACGACATTCTTCACCCCTTCTTTACGAATTCCTCTGAAATTTCTCTTCTTGACAGTCTTTTGTTCCCTTTTGTTTCGTAAAAGGATTAACCCTTCTCGGATTTAACTGGGAAATCACTTTTCATTTGATCTTTCAGGTATTTGTAAAGGATGCAGTCTTTAGAACTCGAAGAGTAGGGCTGTCAGAAGGATCGTGTTCTTAATTTTTCAAGAACTTGAGGTTTTTTAAAAACTTTTCATCTTTGGAATCCTTGGGACAATGAGGTATCTTCTTAGGCTTTTGAAGTTTGGAAAGGTGTGAACTGTTCGAATTTGGAACTTAAAATACTAAAAGAAACCTTTTGAATTTTAGGACTCGAAATATGTAAAAGGAATGTCAATAAATTTAAACATTTCAGGAACTTGTTACGACTGTCATTATTCAAGGAAGTACTAAAATACACTGTTGGAGCCTTTCAGTATATCCCAAAACATGTTCTCATCTAAACGAGGAATGTCTATTGTAGAGGTTATTGGAAGTACAGTTAGGAATAGCCACTCGAGAAACGAGTTGATAGGTTAAGTTTCGAAGTACCATAAGACGTGCCCTTCCACCATTTTCTTGAGAAAAAACTGTATTCTACTTGTCTGTGTACGCATTTCTGTAAGTGTTTTCTGGTACGGTTCATTACCGATTCGATAGATATTTCTTCAAAGACTGTTCCTCTTATTCAACAAGATCATACGATCCTAAATCGTATGACTGTTTTTTTATTTATGTTTAAGACGAACATTTAAATGGGAATAAGATGGACTCACAAAAAAGCTTGTATATTTATGAGTTCTGAAAACATCTATAAATCTTTATATTGTTATTATTAATGAGATCATGTTTATTCAGATGAAGTTCCGGTTATGATAAACGGGTATCTTTGAATTATGCAGCTTCAAGAGTTTGTTTTCAACGCGTTTTTTACGTGTCCAGCAGAGATCGTAAACTTTGTAAATATTTGCGTGTTGAACGTGAACATTATGTGTAATGCTTCCTGATCTACGTTACGAATAATTGGTAATAGAGAAATCTGTTGCATCGATCGATGTACTTACCGTCTATCGATAACCTCTTTAGCGCGAAATTTAAAAGAAACTACAAATTATTTTAGTTCAAGTTACAAGTTTTTCTGCAAAATAAATTGTTAAAGAAAATGTGCAAAATGTTTAGAAAAACGTTTTTATTATAACTTTATAATCTTTCCTCCACTTGTACATTTATAATAATTAATTTGCACTGTTCAACACGCGTGACGTAATAAATATTCATAAAATAAAATCACCACAGTCTAGTCTATCTTCTTTTTACCAACTTGTTTAAACAACGTCCTCCAACACAACTTTTTCAATCCGTACACCAGCAGTGTCAACGCAATTACGTAAAATATTATTACATCAACGGAGTAATAATGAACGACACTCATGTACCTGAAACAATGCAACATTTTTTCGCTAATACACTGAACATTTTACAATCCTTTGCATGCGTGAGAAATTTATGTACCTTGTTGAACTCTTTAAATGTTCGGCGCCTTTGTGCTTGGCGACGTGTTCCACCCACCAGGTGGCTAATTTTCGTGGACTGATTGGCAGTTCTCGTAACAATGAGCTCCTCTTTTTCGCTGCAGTTCTGTACGAATTGTTGTGCACTGCCCCTACCTTCAGAATCCCTTCGCGAAGGTTTCCTATTGATATCCTGGCCAGGTCCATTACCATGGCGTAGCCTAATTTCTCTGTAATGCAGAGAAGCATTCATTAGCATTTGAAATTTTTGCACTGATGGACTCTTTCTTCACAAGATATATGAAGGTACAGATTCCTGAATTTGCAAGGCTTTGAAATTTGTATGTTCTTCATTCCTAAAACCCAGATTGTCAGCTTACCTGTTTCTAAAGCCCAAAATGTACAATTTCCCAGTTCCTAAATCCCCAAATTCTCAGTTACTTAATTTTCAAATCCCCAATTTCTCAGCTACCCAATTCCTAAATCCTCAATCTCTAAACCCCCAAATTCTCAAATCCCCAAATTCTCAGTCTCCCAATTCCTAAATCCCCAAATTCTCAGCTACCCAATTCTCAAATCCCCAATCCCTAAACTCCCAATTTCTCAAATCCCCAAATTCTCAGTCTCCCAATTCCTAAATTCCCAATTTCTCAGTCCCCAACCCCTCGCAAATTCCTTTGCAAAGCAATCCTCACCAGCTTGAGCCGCATTTCCATCGTGATCGCAAAACACGGGCAAGACGAGGGTGGGCGCGCCATGGTAAGCCGCCTCGTGCAGAGACAAAAGTCCTCCATGGCTGACGAAAGCTCGTAGCTTAGGATGTCCAAGAAGCTCCTGCTGCGGCCACCAAGCCGCCGTCCTGACGTTCGATGGCAGATTTTTGAAGTTCATACCTTCCCACTTCCAGATTACGTTGTAAGGAAGTGTGGCGAAGGCGGCCACGAAAATTTGTCGCAGCGCTTCTGGCATCCCTGATGCGCGGACCGACGATCCCATAGAAACGAATATGAAACCTGCAGATTGCAGATGTTGAGAAGTGGATTCAAATGCAAGAAAATTTAATTCCTACCGCGTTGTAAAAATGTCTCCAGATCGGGGCTCAGTTGTGTGGCAGGTTGGCAATGGAGGCAGGCGACGTTGACAACGTTCGCTAAGTACGGAACGGAATCAGCCACGCTGTAGTGACTGTTTTGCAAGGTCAATGGAATCTCTCTGGTCAGGTCTCGTACGTCCGGTACTTGGTCTCCTGTAAAAAGAGCAGGTTGTAAGAAATGTGGAGAATGTCGGGCAGTTTGAGGGGCACAGTGTATACTAATTGCTTCACGGTGCATCATCGAGACATAAACTGTACTGGGTCACGTCTTTACTGATATTTTATAGCTTTAAAATATTACTGTAATATTTGATAGAGTGATGTTTTTTACAATTCCCAAATTCTATCTTTGAGAACGGACCTAAATATTTTCTCAGGATCGGTTGCAGGTATCCGCTGACCATGATCCAGTGCATTATCCTCAACGAGACGAGGCAGGCGGCGTTCAGGATCCTTTGAAGGAAGTTCATATCCTGTGTCAAGGATTTTCCGAAGTAGGGCGTGACAGACCATGGCGATGGGTTTCCTTGCCGACTAATCGAACCACTATACAAAGCCACCTGTAACAAAATATAGATTGTAGTCTAATCAATTCTCGAATAATTACGTTCGTTACACGTCTACTGATAATTAAATGCGGTAGATTTAATTGAAACGCGATACCCAGAGTCTTGAACTTAGAACGCCACTATCGGAACTCGACTAATAATCAGATAGTTTGATGTTTGTAATCAAAATTGAACTACCAGTAGAATAAGTCGAATTATAATTAATTTATTAAGATAAATTTTATTATAAAATTTAATATGACACACATGTATTTGTACAATAAGCTTGCAAAGTTTTATACAAGTTTTCTGTAAGGAATTTCAACAATAAAATGTTAGCACCTACCATAAAATTTAGTACAGAATTAACTATGCGAATATAAAGTGACGCAAAATTACCGTGTTCAGCATAATAGTTGGAATATTTTCCCCATGAAGAATGCCAAGAAGGCACTCTGGAAAGGCTCCATCCACAACGACGACGTCCCAGCGAGCATGAGGATTACCTTCAGGTTTTCTCAAAGAAGAGACCGATACCTCATCGCGGAGAAGCGACTCGCAAGCCTCCCAGGCATATCGCATTGCATCCCACGGAGAGACAGGCATTTCATCACGGAATCTTGCACCTACCAGATCCCATTCTGACGTGTAATTCCCCACGTATGCCTGTCGATAACGCATCATGCTCTAAATAACCCGAACATTCTAATTTTTTGGGTTCTTGGGACTTTGAAATTTTGTCGTTCTTGAACTTAATGTCATAAAAATACTCAAAAATAAATGCATAATTCACCATAATCCTACATAATTCAATCACGCACCCAGAAACCTAGCCTTAACTTTGACTAAATCCTATCTAAATGTATTAAAATAACAATGTAAGATAAAAATAATCACCTCGAATATGGGAGGAACGAACTCCTGTAGGCCATTATTCGCCGCAGGTCCGGTGAACGCGCTCAAGAGCGTGACATTGTGTCCCCTCGCCTTGAGACTGGTCCCCAGAGCCACAAACGGCACCGTGTGCGATTTGGTGCCACCCATGGTGGCCAACAACACGTTGTATCCCACGGTGCAATCGCAGAGCCCGCTGACGATCAGTAGAACGACCAGTCGATCGATCAGACCGATCATCTTTTCGTTTTATCGTGTTCGGTTCGCAGATCCGTGTTTTCTATCTGACGACAGCGACGATCTTGAAGCAACACTGGTAGCGCTTGTTATCGGACGAGCTATCGGACGTCGAAGACGGTAACATCGTCGAACGAACACGCTCTCCCTCTTCTGCCTCGATGTCTGTTTGCCTGAGTCTCTTTTTCTTGTTAATTTGTAGGGGCAATTCGCGTCAGAATTTTCGTGGTACCGGAATACTCGTTCGTCAAACGTTGACTTGGAAAATAAGCTGATCCATTATCATTGTAATGATCGTTTGAAAAATGACCATTGGAGTTAAAGAACCTTTTGTCTACTTTTGTCCGTGGAATTTTGAACCTGACTTCGAGCTGAGGTTTACGTAATTTTTTTAGCTGTGGGTCTCTGCAAGAATAAGTGGAAATTCGTTTATGGAGACGATTGTGGTGGAATTTTGATCGCGATGTGCAATTGGATTCAACTCTACGGTGGACTTTGGATGTTTGAAACTTTTGGGACTTTGAGGATTTTTTGGAACTTTAGGACATTTGAATTTTAGGTCTTAAGACTTTGGATTCTAATACGTCTGTAGCAGATGTGACAAGCTGTCTGTGAGAAGTTGATCGTGTAACTTGAGTGTTACACAAAAATTTAGAATGTTAATTAAACAAATTTCGAGCATACTTGCACCTAATACACCTGCAAAACAAAATAAATTCCAGCGAAAATATTTGTGAAATGACAACCCACTCAATCGATTTTGCATACGTAACCGTAAATCGAAAAGGATTCATTGAAGCGAACTTCCATTCTTAAATCGATCCTATCTGAAACTCTTGTTGTTCGAGCAAATTACTGTTTCCGTCTGTTCAATCTCCGGATTCGGTTAAGGAATCTTTTCTCCGACCATTTACGTCCTACAATGGAGACTTCTCTCAAACAATCTCCTTAAATCGCCGCGTTTACCACGGCCGAATGTATCTGTGTGAAAAAGGAACGTCCAAGTGAAATCGAGCGAGCATGGTCCATTTTTCGAGGGGAGCCAAAGGAGAGAAACAGTCAGAGAAAGGGATAAGGCCAAAAGGATTGGGATCAACCGAGTGGCTGAGAGATCGCATTGTCGATCGAACGAGAACTGCGCACTTGAAACTCGCGTTATTAGTGAAAGTCTCGACTTGAATATCGTTGAAGGTTCGATTCGCGTATTCGTGTCGCGAAATGTGAAGGGATAAAGGTCGTGGGACCTGTTACAATACTTTGATGCCTCGAGTACTCGTGACTTTAATACGTAACATTTTATGTTGTCTACTTACAATTCTGAAAACTAGTTATTTCCTGTCGTTGCTTGTTTAACTTTTACTTGCGAAAAAATGTGGTGTTGGAAAAAAGAGGTCGCCTCAAGTTGTCACGCTTGGTTAGGTTAGGTCTATGATTTGTAGACTTGGAGGTGTTTGTATTGTGGATAAATGGGATTTTAGGGAGGTGTGGAGTTTAGGGAAATCCTATATTCTAGGGGAAGATCAGTTTGGGTGATAGGGAGATCCTAGTTCAGGACTTAGGAAGATCCTAGTTTAGGTGATAGTGAGATCCTAGTTCAGGTCTTAGGGAGATCCTAGTTTAGGTGATAGGGAGATCCTATTTCAGGTCATTGAGAGATGCTAGTTTAGGTGATAGGGAGATCCTAGTTTAGTTCATTGAGAGATCCTAGTTTAGGTTATTGGGAGATCCTAGTTCAGGTCTTAGGGAGATCCTAGTTTAGGTGATAGGGGGAGCCTAGTTCAGGTCATTGAGAGATCCTACTTTAAGTTATTGGGAGATCCTAGTTCAGGTCATTGAGAGATCCTAGTTCAGGTCATAGGAAGATCCTAGTTCAGCTCCTTGGGAGATCCTAGTTTAGGTTATTGGGAGATCCTAGTTCAAGTCACAGGGAGATCCTAGTTCAAGTCATAGGGAGATCCTAGTTCAGCTCCTTGGGAGATCCTAGCTTAGGTCATAGGGAGACCCTAGTTCAGGTCATAAGAAAACCCTGCATCCTACAGGAAGTTTAGTTTAGCTAATACAGGTATACTAAAGGCAAATTCTAGTTCAGGTCATAGGAAGATCTCCACCCTAAAGGAAGACAAGTTTTAATCATACGTCCAGAACTTGTGGAACATGACATCCATGGCAAATTTAGATTATAGTGAAGGATCATAGGTAATTAAATTCTATGAGAAAGTTTAAAACAAGTGTATGAATTTGTATATAAACTTTCGTTCCCGTGAACATAGTTGTACCAAGTTGTTACTCGTAATTGAAATCTGACAAGATCGAAGCGAGTTCGCGACGAACAGTTCTGGATGAACGGGTTGAACGAACAGATGAATAGCAAGGTACACGGAAGCATAGAAACACTACAAATCTGCAGTGTAATTACAGATACATCGAGTTAATTAGATAGGTAGAGTTGGAACGACAAACTGAACAAGATGAATGCCTTTCTTCGAAATTACTGGGAATATTGAAGCGGAATACTAATCGCTGAAAGCGGAAGGTTCACCGGAGACATTCTATGGACGAGTTCTGAATAAATGACACTCCAGTGTTCGCTGAAATCTTTTATATAGAATGGTGTTATTCGAAACTCTTTTAGCATTCGACAATGTGGTGACGTTATTGTATTCATAACGTGGGTCAATTGTAAATTTGGTGATTTGGGAATTTGGAAATTTGGTAATTTGGTAATTTGGTAATTGGTAAATTTGGCTATTTGGGAATTTGGGAATTTGGGAATTTGGTAATTTGGGGATTTGGGAATTGGTAAATTTGGGAAATTGGGGACTTGAGAATCTAGATATTTGAGAGATTGGAGGATTTGAAAATTGAGAAGCTTGGGAATTGGGGATGTGAGAATTTAGGGGCCTGAGAATTTGGATGTTTGAGAAATTGGGAATTTGAGAATTTGGAGATTTGAGAGATTGGAGAATTTGAAAATTGAGAAATTTGGGAATTGGAGATGTGAGAATTTATGGGCCTGAGAATTTTGATATTTGAGAAATAGGGGATTTGAGAATTTGGAGATTTGAGAGATTGGGAATATGAGAATTCAGTGATTTAGAACTCCACGTGAGAATTTAAAAATTGAAAAACTTGTCTCTTAAAAAATTTGAGTATCCAGACATAAAACGAAATAGAGACAATAAGCTTCGTAACAGAAACGTTTTCGCGATGCTAATTTCAGCCTACGTTTTACGAATGAAAGTCGAGGAGAAACGAGTGTCTCGTTTCGAATGGACGAAATTCGGTGGCACATCCTTAAAAGGTGGCACACGATCCGGAACACTTTTTGCTTACCTTAAGTCACCACTTTCTTCCTCTTGTCAGAGTTTCCTTCCTTTCTCGTACACTTCATCATATCAACTAACAAGGTTTCTTTTTCCAGCGTTGTCCAGGTCAACAATCTTCCACCTATATTTCCGTTGGCTCAAAATTTCGAACACACTGGCGTCAAAATTAAACGATCAGAGTCCTCTGACGGTGAATAATCGTTGCACTGGTCGATCGATGTTCACGGTTCGTACGGAGGTTTCGATACAAACTGTACGACGGTGGTAAGAAAAATAATGATCGATCAATTTTCACGGACCTTGAAGCACGGACGTGTTTCAACGCTCGAAGCTCGGATATCACCGAGCGTGAAAGTTTGACTGGCCAGCGGCAGCTTTAATGATCAGCTGTGCTCAAAAGAGAGAGAGAGAGTTTTGCCTCCCACCAGTTTGATTTCTTGCTCGACGGTCTCCTTCGTGAGGATGTTCCGTAACGGGTAACAATGAGACACATGCCCCACTCGAGAAATAACTAGAGATTCTTTAGCGTTTGACTCGGATGCTGCGTTCGTCACACATCAAATTTATTTTACAATGTGTCGAAGTTTTAGGTAATTGATAGGTTTAGTCGAGGTTGAATGGACAGCGGTGTGAAGGAGGAAGGTTAAGGTCCAACCTTACGGTCCACCTTATGGACCTTAGTAAGGTTTTTGGTTGGACTGTACTAGGTTTTGTATTCGACGTCTCAAAATTTAAAGAATAGTAGAGTTTCGAAGCACCGAACTCTCAAAGAATACCATGCGCGGAGTTACAACGTGTGGAATTACCATGCGTGGAATTAAGACGCGTGGAAGTGTCACATGTGGAATTATAACGTGTGAGATTACCACGAGTGGAATTAGGGCGCGTAGAAATACCACGCGTGGAGTTATAACTTGTGAGATTATCACAAGTGGAATTAGGGCGCGTAGAAATATAACGCATGGAATTACAACGCGTGAGATTACCACGAGTGGAATTAGGGCGCGTAGAAATATCACGCGTGGAATTACAACGTGTGAGATTACCACGAGTGGAATTAGGGCGCGTAGAAATATCACGCGTGGAATTATAACGTGTGAGATTACCACGAGTGGAATTATGGCGCGCGGAAATACCACGCGTGGAATTACAGCGCATTGAATTAAAAATTGAAATAGTAAGTTTGTCACGTTACGTAATTATTTACAATTACAAAAACGAAAGTAAGAAGTAATGGTAGCACCAAATTAGAAATTTGTTGGTCGTAAAAGAAACTGATTTCGATTCGTTTGGAAGCACCGATAAAAATTCTTCGACGCGTTGTTACACAATTTCGTCTCATGATTAACGCATCAAATTTTCAACTTTCACAATGATTCGTCGACTCATTGGCTTCTTGTTCGATCCTGAAATGAAATTCGCTTTGTGGTTAATCACTGTCTCAATGCTTCGAAGAAAGACAAACGAAATTATGCGATTATTATAATAAATTAAAATATAAATCAACACAGTACATTTAATAATTCTTTCTTATCGAATTTCATTCGTTACAGCAATTTCGTTTATTTGAGCGTCAATCAATATTTAAATTATAAATAATGTAATAATCCCGTATCGATTGAATTATAAATAATAACAATGCTACCTTGTTAGCTCAATAAATAATACGAAACATTGAAAATCAGCGATACAGTTGAAAAGCCCTCTTGTCCAATTTAATTACATAGCGATGATGGAAAAGTAGCAAACAAAACGATGGCCACTAAATTAACTTCAATTATGGAATATTAACAATACGATTGATCGATCGTACAGGTGGTTAGGTCCTTAATCACATCAAACAACCAGAATAAACACCAAATTTTATACAACACTAATAACAAATATGAAGATTTCTGAAATAAACAAAGTTGCCTTATCATCGATATTCTTTCAAACTGATTTCCACCTCAAAAGCTTTTAACGCACATCAATCTTCGATTTGAAAAACGCTGAAGCGTGAATACAATGAATGAACAAAATAAACTTGCATTCCTATTTATAATATTGTATGAGAGGAACAAAGATCGTGCTTGGTAAATGGTGTAAGAAGTCAACATATTTTGGCTACGGTATTATAATGTATATGAAGTACCGTGGGTTATAGTTAGCCCCTCAAGGTACTCTTCACTCGTGGTAATCTCACACGTCGTAATTCCACGCGTGATACTTCTACGCTTCCTAATTCCACTCGTGGTAATATCACACGTCGTAACCCCACGCGTGATAATTCCACGCGCCCCATTTCCACTCGTGGTAATCTCACACATCGTAACTCCACGCGTGATACTTCCACGCGCCCTAATTCCACTCGTGGTAATCTCACACATAGTAACTCCACGCGTGATACTTCCACGCGCCCTAATTCCACTCGTGGTAATCTCACACATAGTAACTCCACGCGTGATACTTCCACGCGCCCTAATTCCACTCGTGGTAATCTCACACATAGTAACTCCACGCGTGATACTTCCACGCGCCCTAATTCCACTCGTGGTAATCTCACACATAGTAACTCCACGCGTGATACTTCCACGCGCCCTAATTCCACTCGTGGTAATCTCACACATAGTAACTCCACGCGTGATACTTCCACGCGCCCTAATTCCACTCGTGGTAATCTCACACATAGTAACTCCACGCGTGATACTTCCACGCGCCCTAATTCCACTCGTGGTAATCTCACACATAGTAACTCCACGCGTGATACTTCCACGCGCCCTAATTCCACTCGTGGTAATCTCACACATAGTAACTCCACGCGTGATACTTCCACGCGCCCTAATTCCACTCGTGGTAATCTCACACATAGTAACTCCACGCGTGATACTTCCACGCGCCCTAATTCCACTCGTTGTAATCTCACACATAGTAACTCCACGCGTGATACTTCCACGCGCCCTAATTCCACTCGTGGTAATCTCACACATCGTAACTCCACGCGTGATACTTCCACGCGCCCTAATTCCACTCGTGGTAATCTCACACATCGTAACTCCACGCGTGATACTTCCACGCGCCCTAATTCCACTCGTGGTAATCTCACACATCGTAACTCCACGCGTGATACTTCCACGCGCCCTAATTTCACTCGTGGTAATCTCACACATCATAACTCCACGCGTGATACTTCCACGCGCCCTAATTCCACTCGTGGTAATCTCACACATAGTAACTCCACGCGTGATACTTCTACGCTTCCTAATTCCACTCGTGGTAATCTCACACATCGTAACTCCACGCGTGATACTTCCACGCGCCCTAATTCCACTCGTGGTAATCTCACACATAGTAACTCCACGCGTGATACTTCCACGCGCTCTAATTCCACTCGTGGTAATCTCACACATCGTAACTCCACGCATGATACTTCCACGCGCCCTAATTCCACTCGTGGTAATCTCACACATAGTAACTCCACGTATTCTAATTTCTCACGCGGTAATCCCACGCGTGGTAATTCCACACACTCCAATTTAACGCGTGCTACTTCCACGCCCCCTATTTTCGCGCGTGATACTCCCAAGTGCCATAATTCCACGTGTTGCAAGTGCCACAATTCCAAATCAACCCACTGCAATTCAATGCCTTGTAATTCTACGCGCTGTAATTGCATGCGTGGTAATTTCACGCGTTCTAATTCTCCGCGTAGTATTACATGTGCGACTTTCAACAGGTTCATCGACAAGTAAAAGAATAACGAAGAAACTATTTCAATTGATTCATAAATCAATGCATCGAACGGTTGAGTGCTTTAAGCTGACAGTAATTAGCGCCGTAATATCACTCGTAAAATCATCATGTTGAAATCTCAATTACGCCAATTAACCCAGGAAATACGAGTATATTTTCGTGGAAAACACTCGTCTACAAGTTCAGAGGTACTTGTACCTCTACAAGTTTGTAATCCGCGATTTAAAAGCGAGGTTACATAAACTGTGTAGGAAACGAATTAAATTAAGGTTCGGTTCAATTGAATTTATATCGATCTATCGATTGTGTAATTGCTGTGGGTACGTGACATCTGGTTTATGAATAATTTAATGTTAATTTCATGCATTTATTCCGTCCGAATTTGTTTATAAATCGACACGCCCAAACTGCGATACTCTGGTTTCTCTTTCAGGTTTTTATTCGCTTTTTGTTTAATCGATGATTTGAATTATGTCGATGTGGTGATTCCAGCTCGCTGTAAAATCCAGCGCAATCGCTCGAAATGATTGGGTTAATTAAACATCGAGAATGTGATAAAGTAAATATTTATTGCAGTATCGAGTGTCATGAATAAATTATTTTAAACGATGCGCATGTTCAAATGGTATTAAGCTGTTGATATATCAATTTGCAGCTTTCACATCCTTTTTTTATTCATTAAAATTTTACAGGTAACTCTTTAATGGAGGACTATTCAAGATAATCGTATTATCAGTGGATCGATTTTGATTAAATTCGAAAAATTTGCATCGCCTGCGGTCTTCAGGAAGATCTGTCAATCCCGCAAATTAGCAACGTAATCGATGAAAAAAGTAGTCAAAGTATTACGGGTTCGAAATAATCTAAGTGTCACAAAATAATTTTACGACCTTCCGAGAGATTGTCTTTTGTAAATAGCAATGAAATGAAGAATTGGGACAAATTTCACTGGTTCGGTACCGTTATTTCTTCGCGAACGATTTACTATCGGAACAGTTCGTTGCACCTTTCGATATCGAAACGACCGCGTTATTTCGATTTCTTTCCACCTCGATGTTGTAATCAGTAAAATTCTTGGATGAAGATTTTACGCCTGCATCGAGGTCCATTAACGGTCCCCATAAATTTCAAGAATTCGGACAAGGAAAAATTGTGAACAGGTTGAATCCCATGTAAACCTTTACTTTTCTCCCTCGCTGTAATTATTCTTGTTCAGACTCTTGTGGACATTTTTGGACTCGTGTTTGCTGTAAGATATTTTTAGACAGAGACGTTGAATTTATTTTCAGCCACTGTGATTTTTAATATTTTTCGTATAGGAAGTTAGCTGATTTAAAATTTTTAAGAAATATTTAAAATGCGTGACGAAAACAAGAAAGAACTCAGCTTCAAAATACCTTACAACACAAATTTCATGGTAAATTTTTTCAAATATTGTCTACAATTTTAAAGAAACTTGAAAAGTTGCTGTCTGGTACTACAATAATTGTTCGAAGTCCCATAATTCACTGTCAGCCATCTTATTATGCCGTTGCACTGTTTTCAACATCTACAAAAGAGATTCAGAGTCTTTAGTTCGAAACCTAATAGGACATGACACACCTGGTGCGTCACCTCTATAATAAAACTCTATAACATAAGACGCACAGGGTGTGTCACAATGATATTAATGTATGCCGCACCAGGTGCGTCGTAATAACGAAACCCAATATGACACATGCGGTGCGTCATTATAACACAAGACGCACATGCTGCGTCAGATTGCGGCAGCTCGCAAAAAACATACAAGATTCAAGATTAATTTCAAGTGGGCCCAATTGACCCACGATGACTGTTATTCACGATAATATAGACGCAATAATTTCAGCGTGTCATGCGAATTGAATTACGCCGTTCCCGATCGATCGCGAGCCGATACCTTTCACAGGCCGCGAACTCGATAAATCCACCCTGAAGTCCGTTGTGTTTGTAAAGATAGAGAAACAAGTTTCGAGAGCTATAGACAGGCAACGAAACAACATTTGAACCGGTGCAGGCACATTGTAAACACGTGGTTACGCGTTTCAAAGCCAGGATTCATTTTTTCCACGCATTCAGGCTTCGTTTGCATTCGAATCCCGTTTAATGGCAACGCGCAATCGCAACGAGCCTGCAATTTCACGATTTCGCAAAATGTTGTTGCTCCGGTTCGCGATGTCTCCGCGGAGAATAGGTAATTTCGTGTTCCAGAAACGGCCGAAGGATAAATTTGAGGACGGTGTCGTGTACTGCAATAAAGATAAGAATCGATGGAATTCATGTGTCAGACATTTTCTAAACTTTTTACTTTATTAGGGAATGACGCACCTGGTGCGTACTGTGATGTAACATGGAATGACGCACCTGGTGCGTACCGTGATGTATTATGAAACGCACCTATAAATTTCTGTTCTATTGTAATCTTGATCTCACGTGTCTTACGGTACCGCAGTGCCGATGACTCACCGTGTGCGTCCTGTACACCTGCACCGATTTCCTCAATAATTAAAACAATGTTAAAAAGAAAGTCATAAGCTTTTGAGATCATATTCTAAACGCAAGTAGAACAAATAATAACGTTTCGCTCATTACCTCTGTAATTACTATTTTCCTTATTCCTCTTGTACGCGTGGAATATGCATTTATCTCGCTCGAAGAATTAATCGATCATAAACGTTAAGAGTAGAAAAGGAAAAAGAGCGAAGATGACCCATTTAACCGTGTGCCGTTTTGCTTTTACTCGAATGCTGTATCGCGGTCAATCGACTCGACCGATTTTTCGCTGGCGCGAACGGCCGATCGTGATTGCATAACACGTGGGATCATTCGCCAACGAGCGTGTCCTGAAAAATTGCAAGACGTTTAATTTATCACGTGTTTCTTTTTTTCTCTACGTACTTTGCGCCTTCTTTCGAAATTCACCGATTAATGAGATAAGATCGTTTCGTTTAACAGAGCATGGACTGCGGAATAATATTTAGAACAGGTAAGGAAACTCGATCGCTCGCTGGAAAATTTCTTTAATATTAGAAACAATTTGATCGGCGGGAATTGCGACGCGGAGTTTTCTTCGCGATTTCACTTTCGCTATCGTGGCATAATCGCGCGTGTTACGAATCGTAAAAAATCGTGGGGTCATCCGTGCGCTATAATGGCGTCGCGGATGGAGTCGTAAGTGCTGTGAAACGGAGAGAACGTTATAGCATTTCTATTCTATAAACGTATTGCGCGGAGAAATTTTATCGTTCTATGCTCTTCATATTTCATATAACTTTAATCGGTAATCACTAGGTATACAATTCCGAATACTTGACTTCTTGACTTACACAATTCAAATTCAATCTCTCTATAATTGAAGATTCCCTGTAAGCACTTAAATTACCTACATTCTACATTTGCTCGCAGCGTTAGGTTCGAGTTAAAGCGTCACGCCAGTATTCCTAAAGAAACAGGAGTTAATTAACACGCAACAAAATCTCTTCAAGCCGGCGAGCGTAAAAAACACCGGAAAGGGAGTGGAAAGAGTACTTGTTTTTCTTCGCATTCAAATTTTCGAACAATGGAGGCGCTAAAATCTCTCCGTTTCTTCGACAAATAAATCAATAACGAAAAGAGTCTCGCGCATGAGGCGTGAAGTGGTCAGGTATAAAGAATTACGTTTCACTGTCCAGTAGATATATTAAATTTATTTTCACAAAATTCGATGCTCTTCAAACATTTTGTTCCCGATATCAGTTCGATCTTCAGTTTTTTTGTTCTTGTTTGTTCAAAGTCGTTAGTGCAGTGTTTTGACTGCCTGGTACCGAACTTCTCGCAGGTCGAACGTCAAATATCTTCTTCAAGGAGCGAGGGAACTGACTGTTCAGACCCGCGTAGATGATGGGGTTGTAGCAAATTGAGGACTTGGCTAATAACGCAGGTAGAACTGCCACCGATGCCGAGGGCTTTGCCTATAAAACCCCAAGTTTAGGTCAGTGACAATCGGTTGGGTCAATGACCAAAACAATCCATTTAATTATACAGTAGTCGAAATATGGATGCATTGTAGTATGATTTCAGAGGTTAAGATAGTTTTTTATTAGTGGAGCTTAGCCATGATCGTCATGCCATTGCATGCGATAATGATACTCCGCTAACGGGAAATTATAAGAATACTTTCACTGCGCATGCATAAGATTAAACTGTTTATAATGCAGAAAGCATTCACGAAAGGGGTTCGAGTTATTTTGCGTGCAACTATGTTTATACCGGGTGTCGCGATAGTCGGCTGAATAAAAGCAAGTGAAGAGATTTGAGTTCCTCATTCCACAACTATTTCAAAATATTTTACAAATATGAAGCAATGTCACAAATAAAAAACTCCTAAAACTCTCCCAAATAAATTTGAAATAAATGAAGAATGAAAGGAGCTTTCTTTTTAAAATGATAGAATTTCAAATACGATATCTCGTTTTATTTCTCCTTCATAACGTAGTGATTACGGGGCGGTTGCACGCGTCGAAGCGAGTCGCAATTTTAACGCGATGTCCCGCGTTCCCGGTTCGTTTCTCCGGGAAATCGTATCAGAGGATGAACACAAATCCACGTACTTACGTCGAAATATTGTGCGGCGAGTGCAAGAGCCGCGTACGGGGACCAAGCAAGCAGGAAAGCTGTGATCATTAACGCAACCATTTTCGTAATTTTCGCCTCGCGTCTTCCGCTAGCACCTAAATTATAAAAAATATGAAACCTACCGGGAAAATTACCTGTTACGCTCTGAGCCCGGGGTTTAGAAAGTAAAAGAATGGATCTTTGATCCTGAACGTAAAATATTTTCTTACGAATTTCGGTAGGTCTAAGATAGATCTAAGTCTGACAGGTCTAAGTTAAATATTTTAAATTAAATCAGTAACTGTGGGCAATATAGTGAACACACTGCTGAAGATTTATCTAATAAAATACTTAATATCAAAGAGGACTTGTTTCTGGGCTAGTAATATTGACAATGTTACCTGCTCTCTTCCTCACTTTCCTCAAAGTCAATACAATCGCCACGTAACTGGTCGTGATCACCAGAACAGGTATCACCAGGCCAAATGTGAAGATGAAGCCTATGTAACTATCGCTTTTTGTAACTGGATCATGGATTTCCCAGGAGACGCTGCAGGATACGTTTCCGGCTTCGGGGCCGTAGCTTCCCCATCCAAAAAGTGGCGGCACCGAAAGACAAAGAGCGTAGACCCATACGAAGAAACCTAGTATCACAGCGTGCCTGGTGAAGAAAAATAATTAGGAACAGTTTGGAGAAATAAAATAATAAATTACTCTCAGATAACTCATTCATTGCAATTGGATAGATGCAATATTTGATGTCTGACACTTGAAATTTTCTTTATTTGTCAAGTTAAATTATATTAAATTAGTCGATTGGTCTTCTCAAAAATTACAGTCCAAAATAAAGTTTGAATTTCGAGTCGAAACGAGACAATTTTCAGTGAATGCGAAATAGAACACTAAATTGTAAAAATTGTAGCTACGGTCAGACTTTACAATTTGCGGTGAACAAATTTTACTCGGCGAAGCGCAGTTTTATTTGCGGCTGGAATTATTGTGATTTGCGGCCACAGTCTGTCATAAAGTAGAAATTCAAAAAATACATTTTGCAATATCCTTTCTCCTCGCATTAATAATCTTATTGTATTTTATGCGCAATTAAAATCCTGTCAAAGGATGTATAATCTCTAGTTTTGCGAAAAGGAGGATAGAAGGATTAGAATGATCCAGAGTTAATTGCAACGAGAAGCATTTACAAAGACATTTTTAACGGGAGTTTCTCTTTGGAAGATTTTAATTGCGATCAGTGTAGACAGTTATTCGACGTTAACTTTTAATCGCCATTAAACGTTTTCTTTATAAGTTATTGTCTTGGACAAGGGCTGAATTTTTCGAATTTTTATCAAAATCACAGGATCAAGGATCGAGTTACGATCCATTTCTCTTATCATTTTTTTCATGCATGCGCGACTTCTACTCGAGATTTTTGGAGCGGAACACCTGACCGTTTCACGACTCAACTGACCGAGTGGACGATCCTCATTTTTTACTTTTGCTTTCACGAGGTGACAGCTCTTTCGACACACAAATTGTCGAAAAATGAAACTACGACATTCCTTACCTTATGGACAAAGCGTTCATCGGCTTGGCCACCAACAGCCACCTTTCAACAGCCATCACCGTCAAATTCCCGATGCTAGCGAATCCCAATGTGGACATGAACCAGGCGTACCTTCGAACAAAAATTAATCAATTATTTTCTGGAATTTGAAAATCTAAAAATGTTGGTCTAGGAAATTGCATAAAAATAATAATTCACAAATGTGGATGACTAGAATGCTGCTCCGGGGAAAAATGGAAAAACACATGCTATCAGCGATACTGAACGCGGGAGTCTCCCGGGAAATCATGTTGTTCTCGTTTCAACACGACACGCTGGAGATTAATTGAAAATTAAGGTTCAATAGGTAGGTATCGAGATATTGGAAAAGTTATACTTTGATATACAATATGCGATGAAGTTCCATCTTCTTCGTGCTTAAAATTACTAGGTGAGAAGTACGCACAAAATAGTTACGTAAAGTGCTGAAATGAAATAATACGAACTAATAGAAATTTGAAAGTTTGCTATCTTGTGTTTGAAATTGTACTGAAAAGTAGAACTTCAGTCAAACACTGAAAATTGATTGATGAATTCGAACAGGGTCGAAATTAATTAAGAAGGAGACAAAAAGGGTGGAGAGAAGACTAATTGATAATGAAAAATATAAACGTGAGTCTAATTAAAAGAAAAAATAATAGATCAGTGAAGCATAAAGGGGACAAATTGGTGCAGAGAAAGGTACACTAACTGATCAGTGGTAAAAACAGTATTTGCAAAAAGAAAAGTGCAGCTGTAACGATCGAGTTTGATTAATTCTTGGAAGCAAAGAAAGGTTGTGAAATGGTAGAAATTTGATGGAAAAAAGGGGACTCCTATTATGCTTAAAGTAAAAAAATGGCTGACAAGCATAAGTCGTACAAAGAGAACGTAAACCGACAAGAAGGTATAACAATATGAAGAAAAAGGAAAACTTCGGTGAAGCAGCGAAAGGATTTGTCGACGATAAAAGGGAACGGGGAAAAATAAAGAGAATTCTTGTGGTATTAGTTTAATGAATCATAAATTATACCAGAGACACACTTTGTAGCCCCAGTACCATCCTCCAGTGATCGCTGAAACCATGGCTACGGGATTTCCAAGAGCCGCCACCATAAAATCTCCTACCTAAAAAGAATCGCGATTAAACCCTTTCTTCTCAAAAGCTTACGGTCATTAACAGATTGTTCCTTCATTTTTTTCTTGCAAAATTATGCGGCAAATATTGAAAGAAACGAGAAAACTCGCTTATTGATCAAGCATCAGACTTGCAACAGCAAATACCAATTTATTTGACAAAAGAAGTAATTGGAACGCAGGTGTCAACTTCAGAAACTTTAATTTTTTATTTGTGATGTAAGTATTGAATGAAGACGGACGCAACAAGTCTTCAGTTTTCAAACGTTTGTACAAGTCTCGAAACTTTCTAATAAAACATTTTGTAAATTACTCTGATATGCAATATATAATTAAACTTGGTGGAAGTAATTTAATGTGACTGACATTTGCAATTTATTTAAAAGCCGACGTTCTTTCTTTACGTTGTCAACTTCACGTTGAGAAATAAATAAATAAGTACGCTGCGCTTATATCTGTCACAAGTACAATGTACAAAATGCGACGAGACGGAAGTTTTGAATTATTAAACTTGAAGCTGGATATAGGTCGAGTCCCTTTTAATACCAAATCTAACTTGACCCTGTTCAAACACTGCAATTAAACCTAAATCGTGGATCGAATCTATCACCGTTTCCAATTAGTTTACAATTATTTCACCCAAGTAATCTTGATGTTTTAAGTCCACTAAGATTCATTCGATAATTTGTTCAGGACGCACCTGCTGCGTCGTGGGTTGAATTCTATTAACCAGATTAGGACGCACCAGGTGCGTCGTGCATTGTACATCACATTTCGTTCTCTGTCAAATTAATATAAACTTGTCATGTGACCAATGCTATTGACTTTTAATGTTAAATATATTGAAAAATTGCACGAGTCTGAATGCTATGGGCAACGTTACCCCATTCAGTGAATCCACATTCCTTCAGCAGGAATTTAAATAATATCAGCGCCTACTGAATACTACATGGAATGCAATGATCATTTACGCACATATCTTCAATAGCAAATGGCTTATCACGTGTGAAATATCCAAGTACGTGAACCCTAACATTTTCCGTGGCTATTACAAAATCAGGATTCCACGTATCACGCGTGATTCTCATTCTAATGAGCAACGTGTGAAGACATGATTCAATTGCAACCGGTTGCGACTCCTTGTCAAATTTAATAAAACTGTCGCTTCTGACTAGCCTCCGTTTTGCAGTCACCCTTAAAATTTCGTTTGTCATTGTCACAATAAAAGTTGCATAGTCACACGATGTTTTATAAAATAAAACGTGAAATAACACTTACGATAAGATTAACAAGGATTACGTTGACGGGTGTCCAAAGGATCTGTGCATCCTTGACGATCACCAGTCCCACCAAAAGATTCATGGTGAATCCAAAGAACCCGATGAAACCAAGAACAATAGCGGCACCCACGTACACCACAGGACTGATTTGATCCTCGATATTATCTTCAAACACCGCGGTACTACGATTCAAAGACATCGTTTTTTATTTTCCTTATTTGAATGCAAACGCGAAACAAAATCCACCACGCGGTGGAGCGACACAATTTCCTTTTCGCTCCACGTGGCAAGGATACGAAAAGTTGATCGCGTGCATCAATCAAAACCAGTGGCAAAGTTTGAAAGTCTACCTACCCTTATATAAAGCCCGGATGAAACTACCCTCTCTCCTCTTTCTATACCTAGTATATCACTCCACTCGGTGTGGATACAACCCCCCTGGTGAAAAACAGCATGCGCGAGATCAGCTGCTACACCGTGAACTATTAACCCTGTGGTAAATGTACCATTACCTTCATGATCATGAGGCAATTTGATTAGGGACTTGTCCCCATAACTTCCGTTTTTTAATATCTGTGAAATTAGATTTTTGAGTTATTTTTTTTCGGGGAGTAGAGTGGGACATTGGTGCAGAAGATATATAGAGATAAAGTAGGAAATAAGAACCCTTGCATGCTTACATTAGATCACCACGCGTTGTATCACCACGTGTGGGAATTCTACATACTGCAATACCACGCTTGGTAATTCAGTGCACTGTAATCACCACGCTCAGGAATTCTACACATACTATTACCACGCGTATAAATTCTTTGGTCGCTTTTATCAATATATCAATAATGATTAAGAAACCTTTATAACCCTCAGTCCATAACGTCAGAATATAACACGTATTTTTTATATATTTATTTTTGTCCACCTAGTATTTCGACGAAATCATAAGGTCCTATCGATTTCAACGATTCGTTCGTTACGGAAAAAGAACGAAGTTCTTTAATCCTATTAATGGTTCCAGGGATCACACTCATTACTCGTGGATTATCACGAAGGATAGTCGTCGCAACTCGCTATTAAACAAATGGGTTCTACAAAGGGTAACCATGCAATAAAGCAAGAGTTTTTCTTTGTGGATCGAAGGGTTACGTTATTCGATCGATATAAAAATTCAGAGTTACCGTATACGTAACGATTTTTTGTATAATCAAAGTAACTTGACAAGTTGTCCAGAGAATTTAAAAGCAATAAGAACTAAATATTTTGTAAACAACAGGCAGCATCCTTTATTCATTACATTCGTTAATAGAGAAGATTTGTGTAGCAAGAATTTTGACGTATTTAAATTATAATTTACAATATAAAATACTTTTATAGCTATTTCAAATGCAGTTACATATCCTCTGTGTCGCTGTCTGAATCTTCTGCCATTGCCTGCTTGGCCTTTGCCTCAGCATCAGCTTTTATGTCTGCTGGCACAGATTCATGCTTTCCATTTGTATGTTTGCCTACCCAGCTCATTTCAAGTTTAAATTGCTTGTCTTTTAATTCATCATGGACAAGATAGATAATACGTGCTGCCTCTTTGACTAAATCATTGCAGGTCATGTCTGATAACTTCAACTTTTCAATTTCTGTTTTTGCAGACTGCTTTGCTTTACCTGTGGATCAATACATTAAGCATGCTTAACTATCATATAAATTGTACAGTCTCACAAAATGTAAGTTGTATCAACATACCAACAGCACAGCCATAGTATCCAAATGATACTGCAGAAGGATCTATCATGTACATAGCAGGTCCATCATGTTCATAAGCACTAAGAATTACGGAACAGCCATATGGCCTGACCGCTGAATATAAGGTGTATGCATGCATGTACATGGAAACTCTTTCATTCAAATACTTCAACGGAATACCAACTCCATATTCAGACTTGTAACTTGCTGCTTCGGATCTGGCAACCTCTACAATCCGCCTTGCATCAGAGATCAAGCCAGAAACAGCCATGCCAACATGTTGGTCTACGTTAAATATTCTTTTGTTGGTGCTAGGCTCATACAGCTTTGATGTAACAATTTTTTCAACTGCGAATACAACTCCATCTTTTCCTCTTAATCCAATCACAGTCCTGTAAATAAAATTGTATACATGCAATTATCATGAACACTAGTAGATAAATGTTTCTGGCATTTGCAAGAGGGTTACAATGCTTGCATGATATTTTAAAGAGAAATTGTAGATAAAGTCAATTTAATATTCACCCTCCATTCTCGACGGCTTTTTTAGCGTATTCCACTTGAAACACACGTCCGTCCGGTGAAAATTGAGACGCAGACAAGTCATACTGAAATTTTAAGAGGTTAGATCGATGTTATTGCTCATCCCTCGTTTTTTAATGTTCATATCTCATTGATGCATAAGATATTTACCCCTGTGCCTATGGAACTCATTTTTCACTCGTTCAAAAATATAAATACTGAAGTATTTGTTGCAAGAAAAATTGTTTATACACTTCACAGGCGTGAATAGGCGAAAATCAAAACTTGATCGTCAGCGCCAGTCAGCGCCGCTTGTGTTTTCGGTTTAGGTTAGGTGTCAAACATCGAAGTGACATCTGACGGGTCGTTAGAAAGTTATGTTAACTTTTAAACGAACGTCATCGTGAATGCTCAGTTTTTCAAAAGTTATAATAAAATAAGAGTAAAAATGGTAAATATAATATTGAACAAATTAATGGGTTGTAAATTGAAAGTGCAGGAGTAACAGTGATCCATAATTTATTTCGTATAACGACTTAGTGTTACAAATATTTTAAATACTAAATTCGAAATTATTTTCGTTCTTCTGTTAGAAAGTTCTTGATGTTTTCTTTCTTACAGGTGTATTCAGGCGGGCAGCCATCTTTGAATCCATATTCGATGGCCTTCCGGAAGTCAGCTAGTGTTTGTTCGTACTTCCCTTCAATTGGCGGTCCTCTGTGAACGTGCAGTGAGTAATTAGAAAATATTTAGTAAATAATAAACAATTGCAGTAATAATAGTATTATTACTGACTGAGGCAATAATTTCATCGTTTCAATGATCATTTCTGCAGCTTCCAAATATTCTCGTGCAACATGGGGTTCTTCACAAGCTGCCCTGTACAAACACTTGTCACCCATTAAATATCCTAAAGCCAAAGCAACCTCTCCTTCTGACACCACGTTTTCTGTAAGTGTTTAATCCTTTTAATACCTAATCGTATACAAGTGGTGGCGTACATACTATATTCAGATAGTTTTTTAAAATTTATTTGAAAACGTTTTAACTAAGGATAAGTAGTTAACCTTGTTCTAATTCCCGCGCTTTATAACCATGGTGTCCCAAGTATCCTGCGCTAAATACAACTGCTTTGAGCACTAAAAGCAGTAGTAAATTTGACAAGTTCAGATTCAGTACCTGTAAAATAAAAAGTGCAGACACCTTGAATTTATAGATTAGAAAATATGCATGTATTAAAGTAGACATGTTACATTGTCAATGGTGACGTCACTGTTCACTCAAGTGCCATTATGACAAGAGTCTACCCTGTTATTTTTAATAATAAAATTTCAAAGAACGACCTATGTGATATTTTGTGTTCTTGTAATCAATAAATGAAAATATACTTACTTGACTGCTGCTAGACGATCTTTGCACAAGTTCCTTAGCGATTTCCATTAACATAGAACCACCATGTTTCTTGTTCGTTTCTTTACCGAAGTCACGGTCGTCGTTCGCGCTTCGTGCCAGAACCGCATAACTCACGAACGCCATAACAAATAAAAACTGCACTTTCCACATCGTATCAATTAAATAATACGAAAGTACTCAACAAATAAAACGAAATAGATCACGCTATAAGTAATCTCGGAATAAATAATTTCGTAGGAGAAGTCGCTTGTTTTGTCACTGAAAGAAGAGTGAGGTCGGGTTCGATGAGAAACGGTGATTTTTATAAGGCTACGTTTTGTCTTGCCAGCAAAGCGTAAAGCCAGCTCGTTTTTACCCGTGTGCATCAAACCGAAGATGGTCAATGTCTTCTATGTTTTCTCCCATTGTAACGTCACTTCGTACACGATTGTTAATAACATTTATTAACCGTTGCTCGATGCATCGTCGCACTTTCTTTCTTCGTTGACGGAAATAAGCGGTGAAAGCCCCTGAACTTTTACTCGAACCAAGAATTTCAGAACCACTGATAAACATTCAACAAGAAGTATACTTACATTTAAGATTTTTACTCTATTTTCACTATATTTTTGTTTTTTAGTTAGTTAAAATTACGCGAATTGTACATACAGAAAATTTGTAAGAAAAGTAAGTGGTAGATCAACCATAGTTTATCGAATGGAGCTCGCGTGTCTTATAAGTACTAAAATCGAAAGCTGCTCAATTATGCACCCAAAGTTCTGCAAAGGGGATGAAACTACGAGAGAAAAAAAATGTCTCGCAAGCAGTCGTTGCATAATTTAAGAATCTACACTTTTATTACTTTCCCCATTGTCGAATTTCTCCCTTTACCTATTCAATTTTTTGAAAGATACAGAGTTATAGAAACATCTATACTTTCGAATATACATTTTAATACGAAGTAGCTTCTGTACAATTTAAAGAATCGAAGTCTGCAATTTTATCTATTTTTCTTTCATCGCGTACAGAACGGAAATATAACCCATGGAGGTTTTCAAAATCTGCAACACGAAGGTGGCTCAAAAATATGAATTTTTCGTATATCAATTACGCACCTGGGAGTAGAGTTCCAACGTGAAGGAGCAAAATCCTCCTGCAGTGATTTGCAATGGATTTTTTGATCGACATATGATCAGTATAAGCAGTTTCGCATTTTTCGCTGGTAAATTATACCAATTGGAATTGTATACTGCATTAGCTATATCCAGACTCTGAGAAAAGTAACAAATTAGAACAGGATGTTTACTAAATAAAAGTGATAAAAAGATATACCTCAGCTCTAAGCTTCTCACCGACGTAACAGTACAAGTACAGATGCAACATTACATAAATCACATAAATCATCAGAAAACTAATTTGTATGATCAGATACTCCTTTTCTTGAACGTCAAACGACTGTACATAAAATTACGTCAATCTGAATCCGTCTTAATACATATCCTTATCAAAGTATCTTCCTACCATGATAACTTGGAAACATTGAAAGCATAATTGAGTTGTACACCCAATCATTTGAAATAGGAGCATCATGTTGAAACAATCTTTTATCGTTACTGCAAATCTTGGGGAAAACATTAGAGATAATTAAAGGAGGAGTTTCAAATATATAAAGCGTGGAGTTTCATGTGGTAATTGCAGCACGTAGCAATTATCGCGCGTGGAGTTACGGGGCGTAATAATTATTGCGCGTGAGATTATCACGCGTGCAATTATAATGCGTGGAATTGCAATGCGTAGAGTTACAGGGCGTAATAATTACAGCGCGTGAGATTATCACGCGTGGAATTATAATGCGTGGAATTGCAATGCGTAGAGTTATGGGGCGTAATAATTACAGCGCGTGAGATTATCACGCGTGGAATTATCGCGCGTGGAATTCCAGCACGTAGAGTTATGGGGCGTAATAATTTCTACGCGTGGAATTATCACGCATGGAATTATAATGCGTGGAATTCCAGCGCGTAGAGTTACGGGGCGTAATAATTACTACGCGTGGAATTATCACGCGTGGAATTATAATGCGTGGAATTCCAGCGCGTAGAGTTACGGGGCGTAACAATTACAGCGCGTGAAATTATTACACATGGAATTATAATGCGTGGAACCACAATGCGTGAAATTACAATGCGAGTAAAATTACAAAGCATGGAATTACCACAAGTGGAATTACAACGCATGGAATTACACCACATGGAACTATAACATAATTCCGAAGCCTAGAATTACGAAAATTTACCACTCAACGATATAACAAGATTACCTATTCAGATACTCGTGTTTCCGAACAATTTTCCCCACTTCCACTTCGAAATGTTTCTCCTGAGACGACAAAAGTCTCTTAATATCTCCATGCAAGTTCTCCAACTGTCCACAAACGTGCAATATCAGCATAGCGACGAAAGTGTCGACCGCTGTATAAGTGATCGCTCCGTACATAGCGGCCACGAACTGGGCGAACATGGTCAACTGAAAATTCGGGCTGACGTTGACGTCGTATGGGAAATAGGCACGGAAGAACAATTTGCTGTCGTTGTACTTCATTGTCAAACATCGGAGAAAGACGTAGACAAACACCACTGTGCTGCACATTATGGTGCTTCTCATTACCATTGTTCTAGTGGTTTTCGCGATTATTTTCATCGTCTCACGCTGCTCTGGTGACTTTGTTGTGCTCCAGTCTATGGCCATGCACTCTAGCAGAGACTTCAACGCTTATGAAAAGGATAAGGTAATTTATTCTTTACTATACATTTTTTTAAAAGCTACTCTTTAATTTCTTAGTTTTGTTATTTAATTTTGATGAAATTGCAGTTTGGATGAAGTTTGTATGCAGTGAATACTTCAGATGTGATATTAAATATTTAAAGTAATACATTGTGTAAGTAATGTTTTATGTACAATTGCATTTTATAATAAAATTGTGAATCAAAATAATATTTACATTTTCCATTGTTCCAGAAGGCGATGGCTTTCAGAATGCAAATCGTGAATGTGACATTCGCCATTGATAAATTTTCGACCACCAAGTCCATGTCACCCCAAATCAATGGAAAATTAATCGTCTGTGGAATAGTAATGAAGCACGACATCATTAAGACTGATACAAATACCAGATAGCTTGAGGGTCGATTCCATTTTCTCTCTTCTGGCCATATACCAAGAAACTTCATCGTATACTGATTCCAACCGTACACGTACTTTAAGTCTACCATGTAAAACAAGTTAGCGTGAAACATTGTACACTAGTAGCGTATAAGTTAATACTCGATTCTTATTCATTAATATAACAAATTACCGGCTTCAGTATCCACCGAGACTTTCATTATAGCTTGTTTCTATAAACTGTCTAACTGTCTTTTTTCGAAGATGTTCTTTGCTCTGAACTCATGCTCCGTTCGCGCATTCGAAACACGCAATAGATTCAATTATTCATCGACATCAAGTTACACGTTTGAACATGCGATTGCAGTCTATCATCGATTCTCGAATTATTTATCTGATCGAGAATACGATAGCTTTGTTCTTTACTCCTTGGCTAAATTTTATCTGGATAAATATTTATTTATGAGTGCACTTTGTAGGTGCAGAAGAATGTAGACTTGCAGAAGCAATTTGTAAAAATATATTACGTTTGTTGCTAAGTAGATTATTTTTACCACGTTAGTATTAAAGAAATTTATTAGTTAATTATATTAAGGGATAGTGCATTAAATAATCTGAGGCTGAAATTTGTGAAAAACGTTTAATGCTAGACTGTGCACGTGGGGATTCGGTGAACGTTCAATAGTAACATTATGGTGTGACATAACTACTGTAAATGTTTCATTCGATATTTTAAGATGAATACTCATTATAGACTAGAGGAGTCACTCTAACGAGGTGACCTGATCGCTGCTCGCCACTGTTAGTAAAACTGAAAGGTAACCCATTGCTGTTTTCAGAATCTAAAACGAGTTAATTATATCTCTTTATTTTAATACCTGTTGTAATATGCACCATAAATTATTCTGTGGCAATACTCTTTCATTTTTATTTTTGTTAATATAAGCATAAAATCGAAAGTGTTACTTACGGTACTGAATAATTCCATAGAGAAAGTGCTAAATTTTCCAGCTGTCAAACAAAGAGGTCGATGAGATCTATTCATGATAAATAAAAGACACCTAGCTTCCCGCGGCGAGACGTTAAACCAATTCGATTCGTATGCAGCATTGCTCATTTCCATATTCTGCAATATTCTTCTATAATATACTTGTCTGACTAATTTTCTAGTTAGACTAAATTGTAACTTGTTAGAATTGTTTCACTTCATACAAAACTTATCCCAAAAAAAATTCCAAAGTTAACAAATATTTATAAGTATACTTGCTTGAACAAGAATCATCTCTCCTATATAACAATAAATATATATATGAACAAGAACAAATAGCACCAGTAACACGAAGAACACAAAAAATAGCCATTGCGAGTTGTACATTCCAGCTCCACCTTTCAACAACACCTGTCCATATTAATTCAATAACACAATTTATTCTGAAAATGTATCCTTTCCACGAAAAATCTCAAGTGACTCACATCGAAGAAAAGAAAGCCTTGAAAACAGAATTCTATCGTGCAGAGCAACATCTGCATGAGTAACAGCATGTTGAAACACTCCTCAATTTTAGCAGCGAATCTAAAATACAATTTAATTAACTATAAAATATAAATATAAATCTTGCTATCACTCACTCGTTCAAGTATTCATGTTTCTTCACAATGTCCGCCAGTTCCTTTTGTATCAAATCAGCGTCTTTCCCACTGTCCGGATCGCCCATGAGTCTCTTCAACTTCGTCTTCAAGATCTTAAATTGTCCACACAGGTGTATCACTAGCATCGCAATGAAGGTGTCCACGGTGGTATACGCGATGGTGGCCAAATATCCAGCAGCCACTTGACCCACGGTAGTGAACACGAAATTCGACGTTCGACGAAGGTCATATGGAAAATATCCGGGGTAGATCGCAAGATGATCTTGACTCGTCTGATTCTTATCGGAGAGCATGATCGTGATCAGTCGTACACTGAGAAACACCGTCTCCATCGTGAACGTTAGTATGGATCCATAAATCGATATCATGTTACTCGATTTCGCGTACGTCCTCATGGTCGCCCTTTCTTCTTCCGTTTTTGGGGCGTTCCAGTCGTCGTAGAAGTGCTTTATGACTGGTTTGAAAGCTTTGAGAAGGTTTAATTATTATATAATTATAAATATTAAATACTAAAAGTATTCAAGTGTGTATTTTGTGAAGGTATTTCAAATGTGAAGGTATCAGATTTTGTACATGTGAAGGTATTTTGTACGTACTGTCTTTGTGATACCAAGCGAAGGACAGCTTCAGTATGACGTTGATACCAGGGATATTAGCTGTCGAGAGGTTCTCAGTAACTAACTCAATGTCTCCCCAAATGAAAAACAAATTGGCACTTTGAGGACCAACTCCGAAAAAGACGGTGATGAGTATAGCTGCAAGAACCTTGCACATGTCCCAATGTTTTCTTGCGGTGAACGGATCTGGCCAAATACCAATTACATTCATGTTCCTCTGGTTCCATCCCAGAGCCACTTTCAGATCTTGAAGAAAATTTGATGGATTACGATCTTGAAGGGTGATGATGTGGATAGTAAGTTGGGGATTTGAGAAATTTGGAATTTAGAAATTTGGGGATTTGAGGAGTTGGGGATTTGAGAAGTTGGGAATTTGAGAAATTTGGAATTTAGGAATTTGGGGATTTTGGGAGTTGGGAATTTGAGGAATTGGGGATTTGAGAAGTTGGGAATTTGAGAAATTTGGAATTTAGGAATTTGGGGATTTGAGGAGTTGGGAATTTGAGAAATTTGGGGATTTGAGGAGTTGGAGATTTGAGAAGTTGGGAATTTGAGGAGTTGGG